TTCAGCTGTAGCACCCTTCCGGTGCGCAGCTACCATGCCACCCGAAAGAAGCACAAGGGCTGGGATACTGTCAGGTTGCCCAGGCCTAGACAGGGGAAGTCGAGTGGCAGAGGTCGGGTTCGAACCACGGACCTTCCGGTTAGTAAGTAGTCAATGCATATACACCTGAAACACTTGCTAACGCAAGTATTCTAGGAGTGTAGCTGGAAGCTGACATAAAATTGGCTCGACTAACCCACGGTCAGTAGTAGATAGTGATGGATTAAGAGTAAGTGTAGTGCAGTCCGTGAGAAGGACGCAGGTGAAACAATTTTTTCTGGGTCTATGGACGGTTATGAAAGGTGATATGAAGGAACAAGTCTATACGGAACATACTCATGAGGGTGCCAAAAATTCTTCAGCAGCCCGCGTTCGGTTCGCCCCTTCTTGGGGCTCACCATTTAGACATAATCTCTCAGTCTCCGTCAACCTCATGTTCTTCTTGAACTCGAGTAGGATGCATTTCGCGAAACACTACTCCTTTGCACACTAGTTTGATTTCAACATAAAACTTTACTGAACCTCTCTTCCGCTGAATATGCTGTACCGATGTCATCTGGAACAAGCTTATCACCTTTCCGATGCCTGGCTGCCATGCCACCCGAAGGAAGCACGAGAGCTGAGATACCACCAGGTTGCCCAAGCTTAGACAGAGGAATTCGAGATGAAGAGGTCGGGTTCGAACCACGGTCAGTAAATTCGCGCTTTAACCACGGAGCCATTATGGGCTATTTTTGCACAGCCATTTTGTCCCTCAAGACAGCAATTGCGTTTTGCTCAGCTGTAGGCGCTCAAATGATGGTCTGCCTTGAGCCGGTTCAGTGTCACTGAAAACGTACAGAGAGTCTGTTGTGTCAGTCTAAATCCTTTCTCATGGTCACATCGACCGCATCCAGTCATTCTCTGAAACCAATGATTGATTTTGGATTGGCGATGTTCAAAATGCCCTTTCCAGCCTGCTTTGTCAGCTGTTCTCGGTTATCGTGATCGTCAACTTCCCAGTCTATACGAGGCTGTCAAAGGTTTCAGTACTGGCAGATCCCACTATCTGGTTTGTTGGTTGACCGATTGTAGACCTTACGGGATTGGGGACGTACTTCTGGACCTGGTGAGTCTATTGCCTTCCCATTTATTCTTCTGACTTGCCCTTTTTATCTTGGTTCAACGAAGCTGTCCATTCGCCATCATTAGTGACGTGAGCATTTCTAAATTGGAACGCCATTGTAGCGACCTGCTTATTGTAGTAATCCAGCAGAGGGCCGAGATTTTACGTGGGGTACACTTAAAAGTAAAAAAAGCATCTTCCGGCTGTAATACCCTTTGGAAACAGCTTTCATGCGTCTCGAAGGAAGTACAAGGCCGGAGCTATCGCTAGGTTGCCCAGACCTACACAAGGACACTCAGAAATCCGGGTTTACTTGTGAACCGCGGTCCTTCCGGTCGTTATCTTCGTCCCTTAACCATTCAACTATCCCGAGTAATTAGCTTAGTTTCAATGGGAACCGAGTGTTACCGCGGAGAGCGTAGCTGCCGCAATCCACTGGAAGTGAGCGTTGCTAAGAAACGTGCCTCTCTTAGAGAACCCACAACAGGACCTCCGTTAGCCGTCACTATGTTGAAGGTGATCCCGGTAGGGACAATCGTAAGAACCAAGCATTTGGTTTCCTCTGGGGTTCACTTACAGAACGCCACCGTAGACCCGCCACGAGTGATCTCTCAAGGGGGGCTGTACCTAATTACCCTACAGTAACCTCGAGTTTGTATGATTACTGTCGCACTTCCGGCATCGGCCTTGCACTGGCACTCTGTCAGTGTAAGGAAAGTCTCATGTTAATGTCCATTTTTTGGAAGGATACTGAAAACTGTTAAATTTATTGGCTACCCTGTTGTGGTTGGTTTCAGCTGAAAACTGTTAAATTTATTGGCTACTCTGTTGTGGTTGGTTTCAGTCCGAGCAGTGCCCCCCCCCCGTTCGCCATAGGGCGTTGGTAGAATAGATAAGAGAAGATTCATCTCATTCCTTCACAAAGGACTTTAGATATCTTCCAACTATGTAGAGCGTGATTCTTCGTACTTTCTGAGTCATTTACGCGGTCTCAGTAAAGCTGTCCATCGTAGAATGACTATAGGACTTCACTTTCTCATTGCCCGCAGTTTGATTTGCTCATCCGCTTCGGGTGTGGTGAAGTTGCTGTAGTGGTTGACCAGCAAAATGCAACTGGCGGAACAATGATATCGGATTCGTCCCAGTTGATCAAGGACGCCAGTTCATGGGCCGTGGAATGGGCCAGTGTGTTGCTCGGCGTTGCACATCAGCGAGTCCGATGGGCCACTGCGCATTCGACCTGGATTTGGTCCCACCCCCCACTGAACGACCAATCAGCCGGACCGTCTATCATGGAACGGGTGGAATCTATACAGCGGTTGCGTCGAATGCGTTCGTGGTTTGTACAGCTGCGGAAATATATCATTGACTCTGTTGGTAAGTGGTAAACTGCGTTTTTGAATCAGATAGACTTTTATCACTCCTTATCGTGACACCGTGAAATCTTCGTTCCCCGTCTCGGTTTTTCTGTGCTTTGTCAAATAGAACCTCTTCCTGAACTGAGCTTCAAAAGCCTGTTAAGTCTATAGACTGAATGGTGGTCTACCTCGGCTAATTTCCCACAGGCCTCGTTCACTAGCACGAGATAATGAACCAAACGTGTTTACCAACTTTCTTTGTTGTCTTCTTGAACGCCAACAACAAACAGTGAAATTCGAACAAATATTTGTCTCTCGATGAAACGTCGCCGTGTGGGAAAGCTGCACCTTGCGAGTTTTCTGAGTTCGTTGTACTAAGGGGGTATTCAGGGTATAACACGGCGTGACCAAACATTGTTTTTTTCTTTTTGTCCATGGCGAATAGGGGGTGTAGCTGGTGGAGTGGATGTGCATCTGCCATAGTAGTGAGAAGGAGTAGATTTCATTGACAAGTTGCTTAAAAATGGTTTGTTGGACACATCCATAAACGCTCGCTATGGAAATCTGGTCGGCTTAAAGAGGCATGCTGTAAATTTGGCTATATCTGGTTCCACTCGTCTTCCCTTATTAGTGAAATCGATTCGGAGGTAATGTACGAAACGAGCTGTAGGTCCTTTTTGCGGTTCCTAGGTGTGGGACCGGATGTTCAGACATTCCCGAAAACTTGGGGCATGCGTATACAGGGTATATTAGCTTCCAGATGTCACGAGGAATATTTGCCGAATTCCGTTATCCTCTACTTCCTCCCGACTTGCTAATTTGCAGCGGACAAACTCAATCGCCCCGAGGCTGCCTTGCATTTGGCCGAGCGCTTTGCCGATTGCGCTCAAATGGTTCGTCTTTGTTATCTGCTGGAGCGACAGGATGAAATAGATCACGCTTCTGAAGACTGTGAGCCAGTCTCAACCACACAACTCACGCGGTTCCATCATCACCGTCTGGTGGAGCTGTTGCGTCGGGTTCCTGAAAGCTACGGACTTGCGGACCAAGCCCTTCAGGTAATGCTTCTTGTACTACAGCATGCTAATTTGTGTGATCCGTTTGTCCCTTCCTGATGTCTGTGGGTTTCTCTATTCCCCTGCTTGCTTGTAGTGGTACTTCGCCTGTGAGGAGCACGCACGCGTCAAATCCCTGCTGGCCCTTCTAGAACGACTAAAAGAGAAGTCCACTTCCACAGAGGATCAGTTTCACAGCCTTGCCAAAACAAGGGCTCCTCAACACACAGCACCTCCCTCGGCCGTGGAGCAAAGGCGAAAGGTGGCGACGGAGACGGATCCAGTTAATAGGTTTCTGCACCGTCAAGATACTCGAGATCACGCTTGGCCTCATCTGCTCTCTACACGGCAGTACTCAAAGGCAAGTGCGTTTTCCGGGCAGCACGTCTCAAATCCCTTTTTACTACTAATCTGCTCAACACCGTCGCCAATCACTTCTCATCCCAATCCATTTTACTCCACTGTGCAGGCATCTCAGATACTGTTTGAAGAAGGATGCAAGGAAACACGTTCGATCGGTCGTAGAAAAGTCCTCTTGAGCCTGGCAAAGCTAACTCTATTAGCAACGGGTTCTGTCTCGAAAACGCGTACCACCACTGGCGATTTGGGCGTCTCAGGTGAAACTGTTCCAGACCGTTTGATTGAAAAACTCAATTTACTGTTAGAGGCTATTGATCTCCAGGTGAGGTGTTGCGTGGGTGGGTTGTTTAATTCTGCGCCTTTCCATTTTGCTTGTCTGCTTCAATTTTACATTTGGTATTGGGTTGGCACTCTCCCCTCTCCAGAGATAACAGCTGCTGACCTGACTAAAGTCAGGTCTTGAGAAGGTCTGTTCTTGTTTCCACCATCCTGTCTACTCGAAGACCTAAGCACACGCCTGTCAACCTGATCTGGTTGATCTGGGTCGGCTGTTTGATCTAATATACTGTTTAGCTGTAGTACCCTTTCGGTGCCTAACTGCCATGCCACCCGAAGGAAGCACGAGGGCTGGGATACTCTGCCAGGTTGCCCAAGCCTAGACAGGGGAAGTCGAGAGGCAGGGGTCGGGTTCGAACCACGGACCTTCCGGTCAGTAAATTCGCGCTGTAACCACACGGTCCTTCTTGACCTAATGGTAAGTCAAGCACAAATCGGACCATGCATGTGAGGCCGCCTTCAATTATTTTAGTCTATTTTTGATCCCTACTCAGGTTCATTTTGGTGTTTGTAGAAACTACACTATCCATGAAGCAAACGATCGTGTCATTCACGTAAGGGTGACTCGAGATTCGTATAAATTCAGCGTAAAAGCCTTATCACGTGATCGTCCGGGGGAGTATTAGAACCGCCACTGAGACGGAACAGTAAGCAAGGTGTATCACACAAGGCCAGTGGATGATCACGCATTCTTCGGTGAGACAGTCTGATACGACAAGTTTCGGAAAAAGTGACGTCCGAAATAACACCACAACGCTATCCAATTTATCTAGATGGCTGAGTTCAGCTCATACTATTCCTCGCAGAATTGATGAGTCTGATTTTCATGCTGCCGAAAAAGAAACACACGTTCGCAAACTAACTTGTTCCCGGGAGACGCAGTTGAATTCCAGCTGAAGCTATTGTTTATGACATTGTCCAGAATGTGCTGCACGAAATTTGAGATATCGCAGTATATTTTTCTGATCCAACAAAGTACTCCTAAGCATGCCGACAACTGTTCAACAGCCCACGACCGGTTTTCACCTTTCTTGGTTCTCATTAGGTCGGTATAGTCCCCGAATTTCCATAGAGCTTATGTTCTACTTGAACACCGAATTGGTGAAGCAAACTAAGTTGGTGTCAAAAATGTATAATGCGTTATCCTGAATAGCGTGCGAAACGAAACATGAGGTATCCTTTGTGCAGCACATTCAGTTGAAGAATATCAACAGTGAGCGACTCATTTGGGATCTGTGCTAACCAATTCGATTTTACCAGCTGTGTACGATGGTTCCAGCTGCTACAGTTCTGATAACCGATAAACGGGAGTGCGGGACGTACAGGCAAGCCTTGGAGGTGATGGGAACTGAATAGTTACGCATTGAAGGCGATAGCTTTGATGCCTGAACGCCATCGACTGCGCGATCAGCCCAGTTCTACCAGTGTTATCAACCATTGGTGGGTTGAGTCCCGGGGTTTCGATCTAGGGCGGCGACTAAGTTCACTGGTTAGTGTTTTCATACTTCGTTGCCAGGTCACACACTGTCCACCTCTTGGTCGCTTCCACTCAGCACAAGGCTGGGTGAAAAGAGTTTTGCGAGGCAGACGGTCTTTTGGCATGCAGAGTACATGTCCCAACCAGCGCAACCTATGAAGCGTGAGTAATTTATCTATCGCGGGAGAGCTCCTTTTTCCTAAAACCACCAGGTACACCTTAGCATTGCTTATCCGATGTTCCCACCAGACCTGATCAATGGTCAAACACTGACGTCCTTCGTAAGTCCTCTGCGCGTAGAGGCCATAAAGTAGTATGGATCACACCGCCGCAGTGTGAATTCCGCCCTTGACAAACAAACTGCCGTCACGTCGACGCCATAGGTGTCGGAGGTTGGCACCAATCCACCGGAGCTTATAAAACTGCCCAGATAAACAAATTTAGCTACCGTGTCGATTGGCTCGCCTGCAGGCATGAGGTTTGGGTTTGATCCAGCCCAGTCTTGTGGTAACACTTTATGCTTTGCAAATGTGAAGAGTATGTCAAACTGTGTGCGAGAGTTATTTAATTTATTTAAAATGGTCTACATTTTTGAAGGATCTGAACCAACGAGGGCAACATGGTCCGCATACTCAATGTCTGTGAGGGGACTTCTCCTGAGCACTTCAACTCTCGAAGTTTTGGAGACAGACAGACGAATTTCAGGTAGCATATCAATAACAACGTTGAATAGGAAAGCTGAGAGAGGATAACCATGGGATTTTTTTCCAGACAAACCCCGCCAAAAAATTAACCCCCACCACCCAAGAAAGGTCAGAAAAAACTGGATATAAAATTTGTACTTTTAGTTTTTATCGAAGAGGGTGATGTTGGGACATGTCATTAATAATTTGCATGAAAAGGTCCGTTTTTCGGTACTTTTGCCTCCAAACGAACTTACGCAAGTAGCTGTCCACTAAAGACCGGTGTGTGCCGCATTGGCGTTTATTCTGAATCTTGTAGACCTATGTGAGCTGGAGTTGTTGAATCCATAAAGTTTTTGGTAAGGCGAGTCTCTCGAAAGAACCAAATCGGTTTGCAAATGAGTGTATACTCGCTAATTTCGTACAATTTGGTTTCAAGTAGAACATAAGGTTGACGGAAACCCGGGGACTGCGCCTACCTGATGAGCCCCAAGAGGGGCGAAACCGGTAGTGGGCTGTCGATGGATTTTCAGCAACCTTATGAGTAGTACATTACCTCTTTAGTTTCCCCGTAGATCCCTCCTAAAATCCATGGCTGGGGAAGACTCGCCCTGCGTTGTTTTTACGGTGCGATATTAGTGTTCCACCAGTCTCCACATGTAGACCTGCGCCGCCGATAATTGTTGGAGTCTGCAAAAGCCGCCAGGCGCAAACTTCGCGAAGAAGGTCCTTCCAATCAACAGCGGTCGTGTGGCTTTTTGCCAATTTTTTGGACCAGCAATAAATGAATAAAATAACTGTGCTAAACTCCATCCTAGGCCACTCCAACCAAGTTCCCTATGGAAGACCGATTTCTTGCCGACACTGTCGGGCATTACACCTCCACCTGTCGGAAACAGTTGAAAGTGTCATTTGGTGGCCATTGTTGCATAAACGTTGCTGATAAATCACTCCGTGGCTTTTCAGAAAACGTATTGCTGCCTCACTGTCACGAACGAGAGTTGAAAGCGTCAGGAAGTTCATTCAAGGTTTTACGTCCGAACGGAAAAAACTTTTGCACAAAATGAGCGTAGATGCCGATAAGGAATTGTTTTGCTCAAAACTTGGTCAAGGTTGTGTACGTATATTAAATTGGAGCTGGCAAAAAGTGGCAGGGCTTAATTTTTCGCACATGCACTTGTTGCATTAGTGGGAGGTGGCTTATCTGGAAAAGATCCCAACCACGTCTTACACCGCTGAACTCGGTGAACTCAGGTCAAAGTTTGCCGTATGCTCGTACGCGCCTACAGGGATTCGCATATAGTGTCCTTATAAGGGATATAAATTTACAAGGGACACCTTTGATCGCAGACACCGCCAAAGTTTCTCACGATCGACAGAGTCAAAATCAGGCATCCAGGGATATAGGCCGGTCTCACGTTAACACAATCTTAAGTGGGAAAGCTCAACTAGGTCACGCACGCGAATCCATACAGTAGTCTACGAGACAGAACGGTCGACTGGAGTGTATGACGGACGGGTTTTTTATGCTTCAAGGCCCATAATTTGGAAGCACAGGTTTCAGGTGGACCTTCGTCAGGCTAGTCAAATACCATTAGCCCCTCAGACAAATTCAAACTGCCTTCTGCACAAGAGATCCACTTCTGTATGAGTGCCATCGGTGAACTGCCTATGCGCAGTGTTGTTTCCGAATGCTTCACCCAATCTTTTTAGGAGTAAGTCTATGCAGTCAGGCGTTTTTTACCCCCCCCCTTTGGGGTGTACGA